CATTAGTTAATTGTCGATTCCACTCAGTTTCCATTCCCTCTTTAATTGCCATTCCCTAATTAATTCTCATTCCACAAAACTCCCATTGTCTAGTATATTCTTATATATATTCTATACTATATCTATAACTGAAACTAACTGCCATTCCCTGACAAACTTACTCTCTACACAGAAATTATGTTAGACAAAATTGAATTCATTGAATATATCAATGCATGTCCACAAGTCGAATGTGAAGATATTTAATCTATATACTGCCCTCTATGGGTTGAAAGTAATTGGTAAATGTGGTTTGCAACATTATTTCTCTCGAGTGTCCCTATACAAAATGTTGTATAAATCTTTTGAAATTGTGATATGTTAGATATTTGTTTGCATAACTGTAGCGTATGATGACTCAAGGTGAATGATAGGAAAGTAAGGAAAATTGAAACAGAAAGAAGTCAGAAGAAGAGGAAGTAACAGTTTAGTAATATAATTGAAAATAACATAAAGAACCTACATATTTGAAATGCAATAGAAAACGGCTGCTAAAGATTGAGACTAGATATATTGATGTTATAATGGTGATTCTGATGTTTTATCAATCTGGTTTTTAAATTTTTGTTGATTTTATTTTGCTTGCTAATATTTTAACTTATCTCAATACATACTTACTATGATTTTATCAGATATTCAACTAATAATACAGTTATTTTTCATTAACATGGTCATGATTATAATGAAACCATGTCAGTGGATAATTTGGCGAATCAAATTTTACCAAATATGGAATTGGACAGGAAAATAGAAGAAGTTAATAGAAGTTAATAGTTGTAATACATCGTACAGTTTGAATTGACCAATCAAGTTACAGTATATTTTAAATTGAAGTCACATGGAATGTGTCAACTAATTATATGAGATTATTGTTATGACATGTTTTTTAGATCTGGCAATTAATCACAGTTTATTCATGCATTTTGACACCTTAGTGTATTTATAATTTCAATGCCAAGGACAGATGTTGCACTTTTTTTTTTATTATACTTTGCACATATTTTACTCCCATTAAAGATACTTTTAAAACACACACACATTTTTATCTACCACTGCCCTGATATCAATAAGGAATGTTATCTTCCTCATTAGTAAATAAATCTGATATCTAAATTGTTTACATCGCAACGTTCTTTGCGACGACACAATAGCATCATGATTGAAGGCCAAAGGGTTGATCTGTTAATTTTTTACCTCACATTTTTTTTTATTCATCAGAGATTTCAATTTCTCCTTCAATTAGACGCTTTTTTTCTCCTGCCTGCCTTTGAAAATCTTTCTAAAATAATGTTTGCTTAACAAGATATAAGAAGATATATTATATTATTATTTTACATAATTGCCTTAATAATTGGTGGTGTGTCCTGGTTTTTAACCCTATTGCTTTTTGACAAGCATTTCTCTATGACTGTTTTTCCTGTCCCCTAGATTAGATTAGATCACAGCTCAAAGGCCCCTTCATTTTTAATGTTGGCCTGTTGTTTGCATAGGCTGTGCAAGGTTTTTCCCGCTGATAGATATGTCAATGATGAGTTAATTAGATTTAATCAGTAATTGATATTTCAGTGTATTGAGTGTCTTTTATTTATTTTTGTCAAATTTTAATGAAAATTTAATTAGTGCAGTTAGTACTCTTATCATTTAATCATTTGATCAAGAGTTTTCTAGTCCACTGTATAACAATAATAATAGAGTAAATAGCTTGGTAGTTAAGATGCTTGCCTTCAAGTCTGTAGAGTCCTGGGTTCAAATCCTGTCAGATTCAACTTCATATACCTTGTTATGAGACTTGGTTTATGTAGAAAACCTTGTGGTTATCTGTCATGTGAAGGGATTGCCATCTATTTAATAGGACAGTGATTGATTTGCTATTGGTCATGTCCCTAAAGAAATAATAAAAAAAAAATAGTATAGAATATACATACCATTGTATATAAGTTGATTATACCCTTTATTTGGTGTTGTACCCATTGCTGCCGTTATTATTTAGTATATACTACAGCATATACAGTATGTTAAGAAGATGGCCTTTTTTTGTCAGAAGAAATAATACGAATTGATGTTCGCCCTACCTGATGTGATATAGTACTTCAATGCTGAGTACATTTCCAAATGCTTGCGAAAAAAATACCATATATGTTTTTCACGATATCTATAAAAGGAAATATGGCCTTTTTTTAACATCAACATATACTGTATGGTATCAAATTTTCAGGAAAACTGCTTTGGAAAAATGAAATAACTTATTTGTTAAAATTATGGTGGTATAGTATAGTATTTAGAAATTTTACAATCATTTTTGACTTAATAATAACTTTAATAATATATTTAACCATTTAAAAATGGTTTCAATATTATCCTGACTGTTACCTGCAAACCACCAATTACTTAGCAGTCGTAATTCATTCATTTATTTCTTATTTCAGATATAAATATCCATACAACAAAAAACATATAGGTCTAATATATAGAAGAGGAGAAAATGTATACTGCATATTCCTCAAAATTAAAAAGAAAAATATTCAAGTTGCTAATAAATTAGTTTACACCAACGCTGATGAAGGTGCGAATGAGGAAAAGCATATTTAACAATAGATTTGATTAAATTGTTAGCGCTAACACAAAGTCTACTCGCAAAACTGTGTATGGAGTTGCTCCAGTATTCATAGAATGAGGGGACGTTATTCATAAACAAGATACTTGCACTGGTTATACAAGCATTATTTTACATGCATCTGTACTAAATATTAGATGATTGCAACGATAAGTACTGCATTTTGCACGGATTGAATGCATGCATTGTACACATCGTAGACAGAATGCCGAACACCTTTTACACTGGGGACTTCCCGTTGCATTTTTAGCTCATTTGCAATATCCTGTGAAATCTTGGACTCTGATTGAGCTTGATGACGTCCATGTCCGGTTGAATTAAACAGGATGCGCATGTCCAAGAATAGATGCCGAGGAAAGTAGAACATGCTGACTTTATCACCGATGCTACCGTACCCAATTACAGTTGATGCAGGAACAGCTGTCTTCCCTATCTCACCCACCGATGCTGACAAGCTCAAACCCATTTTTTGTTCCCACAAACTGCAGTGCATTTTCATTATGGATCCTTTTTTTCATAGGCTAACTTTCATAATTGAAGGCTTCGGCCCAGTTGCTCGGGTTTTGTTTTTTCGGTAAATTGCTGTACCGGTTTGTGATATTGAATGAAATGAAAAATGCTAGAAACTTTGGTAGTGGAGAAGCACTAGTGATAATTAAAGATAATAAATGTTTGAAATATCTTCCCATAGTGGGCAATAATTTTTTTCTCAAACATTATATTTTTACTATTGTGTCAGTGTCAGTAAAAATACATTATAGTTATAGGACATGTTGACCAATCATAGACCAGTATTGGTTGTTATCTTAGATTGCATGGGTTAGTCAGCCAATTAAACTGATAATATTGTCTCTGCTCAGTTGGTCATCATTGGTGCCTACAATCTTCCTTCTAGACAATTATGGACAAATCTGGTTTAATCTTCATCCTTCATTCATTAAAAAGTATAATAAACTCTACTGATTTCCTTCTGAGTGTCATCATTCAACTCATCTTCAGAAATTCTTACCTCATGTTCAACTCAAATTTGAATAAACAGATTGGTTGTGTTATGATAATAATCAGGGCTGTAGTACGTTAGAATTTGTTCTGAGTGGATGCTAAAAGCCCTGTGTATAGATTATCAAATTTTATTTGACAAATACATGTGACATGCCTAAATATGGACATGATGACATCACATCATGACCATATATAGGCACATCATGACCATATATGGGCACATCATGACCATATATAGGCACATCATGACCATATATACTGTAGGCACATCATGACCATATATAGGCACATCATGACCATATATAGGCACATCATGACCATATATAGGCACATCATGGCTATATATAGGCACATCATGACCATATATAGGCACATCATGACCATATATAGGCACATCATAGCTATATATGGGCGTACTTGTGATAGTGTGAACAGAGCTTAATGGTGTGTTGACCCTTCACAGCACATCCTAAACAGACCTGTTTAGCTTTCAAGATTATAAGACAAAGATCGATAGATTAGGTGAAGAGACAGATAAAGCATGATTCCCTCAAGGCTTTAGTACTTTATCTAGTAACCAACCCTGCAGAGTGTTTGTTCATGCCTTCCTAATGCTAATTTGTCTTCCTAATTTACTTAAATTCAATAGGCCAAGTACTTTCATAATATTTATTATATTTTTGTATCGTATTGTATCACCAGTTTGAAGTTTTCTAAATATAATTGTAATGTGTCTACTTTTTTGTATAACCATTTATACTGTCCGATCGTTTTAATGAACATTGACCTAGGTTTTTCATGTACATGTGTTCTCTTATTTGAATAATGTGATTATTAATGATTGAATTTAATTGCAAGCTTGTTCACATTTTAAAAATATAAACATACTTTACTGTTCATTTTCAATTTTCTGTGGTATAGTAAATCATACTTTGGGGCAGGCAGGACCATATGATATTGCAATGTTAAAACTACTTTCTTTCTTGTACCTAATTAACAAACACTAATTAACTAACAGTAATTAATATAGAGGACTATAGTGTTACATCACGATACCACGTGATACTACTCCGTTGCTATCAGCGACACAAAATGCATTCAACCTTATGCCATTTTCTCCACTGATAAGTAATATAATGCGAGCTTTTGTGTTTTTAGTACATTTTGATGGTAAATTATAAGGTTTTAAAATGCCTATTCCAGAAAGCCTATTCTAAACCATTAAGATTATGAAGTCATTCAGGCGCAATGAACGGCAACCAACGTCTGGTTGACAACAAAGTGTGCCACCTGGTGTTGTGACGACAAGACTGTTGTACTAAGTAACATTGTTTTTTTTTAACAGATGAAGAACATGCCTGGATCTATTAGACTACCACTTTCAGATGGCAACATGCTAAGCATTCCTGTGGGAAAAGTAGAGTTTCATCCGGACAGAAAGGTGATCAATATATCGGATGAAATGGCAAAGACTGGAATATGGAAGGCGTTGGTTAGCAACGCTAGTAGTGCCGAACTTTCAAGGAAGAACTCCCTGGATTTTAGGTAAGTTGATGATTGTACATTTTTGAAAAAAATTATTATATCGATAAGAGTACCAGCTCACCTTTAGGTGAAAGGAATGTAGCTCTAAACTTGAGGTACAGCATGTCTTATGGAGATCAACATCTTTCCTAGCAGGCTTTACTACATTGCTATGACGATGCTTACAGTTCCAGTTGACTAAACAATGAATGACCTTTAATGTTTACAAGAGTGTCCTGCGCTAAGCCCCCTCATTTTTTAAAGAGGAGTCATATGTTTCAGAATGTCATAAATGTTTGATATTTGATAGGCCTCTCATGACATTTATTTATTCTGGTACGAAGGACACTGCTATCATACCCATAACATTAGAGGTCGTTCAATGTATATTTGAATTGAACTGCAAACATGGTAGCAGTTAATCGTTTGACAAAAATTAGAATTTGAAAAATGCACCATGACTTTTTTTTCATGTTTTACGTTTATAAAAGTGATTATTGACAAAATTATTATATTGATGGTACAACATATATGGAATCAACATCTTTCCTAGCAGACTTAACTGCTATGCTTCATCAGGCAGTACGTTGCTATGACAATGCTTGCAGTTCTGGTTGACTGAGCAATGAGGGACTTTAATGTTTACAAGAATGTTCATTGCTCAGCCCCCTCATTTTGGGAGAGGAGTTATGTTTCAGAATGTCATAATGTTTGATACTTGACAGGCTTCTTCATGTCATTCATATTGTCGTACGAGGGACACTGCTATTATACCCATAGCATTAGAGCTCACTCAATGTCTGTTTGAATAGAACTGCAAACATGATAGCAGTTAATCGTCTGACGAAAATTATCATTTGAAAAATGCACTATGTCTTACTTGTTGCATGGTTTAGAATAAACACAAAAATTTTAAAAAGTTATTTCAGGACACCTTAAGAATAAAAATTCAGGGGTTTCCCAGGATTTAGTGACTAGCAGTCACCAAACGGGAACATAGCAAATAAACAATGATGTTTATGTAGCAATAAATCTATCCAATTATATAAATACAATTAGAATCTGTGAAAAGTTTTCATAATAAAGATGGCGGCAAGTATCTGAGTACGTGTTCAGTTTTTAATAATGCTTCTCAAAATACAAAGTTTAAAGTGACTTTTCAACATCAATATGAATGTTTAATATTAATAATGTAGTCTGCCAAAATATTTAATTGTTGAATCCTGTGTGAATCAATTGTGGAAATATGGTTTCAAGCGACAGAGCTTAATATTCCTCTGTGTTACTTGCTCTTTAAAAATGTCTGGCTTTTAATTCAAACTTGTTATTGGTCTGTGTGATAGCCTTGGTTAGTTAGTCTACTTGTTTTTGTTGTAGAATGCCCATAAATAGTCATATTTATATATGTATGTTTTTATTTATTTATTTATTTTTTGTATCATTTAATTTTTAATTTTTATTTTTGTGAATAAATATGTGATGTTTTATTATTTGTAGTATCTGTAGTAATTTCCCAAGAGTGGGTTGATGGCCTTTCAAGGTAAAGTGTCCATCAACCTAGCCATCTTAGGTTATTTTACTATATGTTTGTTATTCCTGTTGTTTATACTGTTTAAATTATAATTGGCTGAATAAAGAATAATTGAATTAATGAATGAATTTATGAATATATGAATGAATGAATGAATGAAGTACCTATATTTGGTGATGATGTGATGTCATCATTACCATATTTAGGCATGTCACATGTTTTTGTCAAATAAAATTTGATAGTCTGGACAGGGTTTTATGCTTGCTTTAAGACTATAGGTATTTTTTTTTTTTTACCCATTATAGTCATGATATTCCTATATATGGTCATGATGTGCCTCTATATGGTCATGATGTGATGTCATCATGACCATATTTAGGTTTGCTTTAAGATTATGGGTATGAATAACAAACCTGGATGTGAGCACGTCTTGAGTCCTGCAGAAGAAACATTATTATTTACACAAAATACCTTTTTTTATAATTTGATAAGATGATGAACTGGTGTCGGCATGAAGACTCATCTTCAGTTAATGGACAACATCGAATGTTTGACCTTCGTATGGAAGTTATTAATAAGACTCTTGTACTGCCCGTGTATAAATTTCATGAATATTGAACTTGATGAATTTATCCTTTGTTGTATTTTTTCAAAATATTGTTAATATGAAATTTAATTATGATTTAAGGACACATGAGTCATACTGTTTTATTTGCGAGACAAAAACAATGTATATTCACTCTAGGAACCAATGCTAAACCAATGTATTGTTTATAATTATTTGACCAATGAAACCCAGGCGCTATAAACTAATATACAATAAGGATTTGGCAGATTTTCCATCATGACATTCACAACAGTCACTCACACATCCAGACATTTTTCTCTTTCTAAACATTTTTTTTTTTTTAAAGATAATTTCTTTATTAATCAAATGATTAATTAATTTCATATAATTTGTTTTTCACAGAGCCAAAGAAAAAGCGATGAATAATAAAAGCGGTAACGAGCTCTCAACGATACCGGGGAGTCCAAGCCCTGAGAGGGCGCCATTACTGGTTCCAGATGTTGATGATGGTGATGGAGATATTATAATTGAAGTTCCAGAGTTGCAAACAAAAGCGGCTGAGACTATGTTATAGAAGGAACAGAAGCGGCTGAGACTATGTTATAGAAGAGAATAAAATACCTCTAAGGTATCATCATCATTATTCATCTAATTATAATAATCATTACAACTATCATCATCATTACCACCATTATATAGAGTATCATTATCATCAGGATCGTCATCTTACAAGACCTGGAAAAGTTAAATTAGTTATTTGAATTTAACTTTTCCAGCCTGTCAGAAACATCAATAGTTTATGCCTTGGTGAAAACTCATGGATATGTTTTATATAGTGATTGTATTATTCAATTCCAGTTACATTTTATTAATTTGAGTAATATTGGTTTATAATTTGTAAATGTAACACAATAAACATGATTACATTTTACAAGTGTTAACATAAATGTACACACAGATATTTCCAATGAAAAATAATATAGAGGTTGTTGAATATATGACTGTATTATTTGGTTTTAAATTCTAAGGGCTTTCTTTGTATCAATAAATTGAGATGAAAAGGGGGTGGAGGTTGCAAGATGATACTCTCTGAATGTAAAAGAGTGAATTTTACTCCAAAAGAGTGCATACACTGATCACTCCAATTTCACCCTTTCTTGAGTGAATAGTGAATAAATAGTGCACTCTGTCATTCTTTTACATTTAGAGTGTAGGAATAAGCAAGCAATAGGCAGGGAATAAGGGTTGAGTGAAGAAAAACCGTTGGTGTGTCCATGAAGGGCAAATAAGTTGTACAGACTGGAGAAAGATATTTAAGTTTGTGATAGATGGGTTGTATAATGATAGACTTTTTATTAGGAAATACTGCTATGTTTTTAATAATAATGTTAATATATTATATTTTTTGAATGGTACTTATGTTATGACATTTTTGTGTATTGGTCATGGAAAGTGTATTGGACTAGAATTTATAATTGCATAGAAACCCATTAGCTATGCACTTTGTTGTAATCACTGCATTCTTGATTATTATCAATATCATTGTTATTAACTTCATTGTTAATCATCATCAGTAATATCGTCATTAACATAATCATTGAATTTTTTTATCATCATCGTCAATATCATTGCCATCATAATCAACAATCTTGATATCATCATGAGTATTATTTAATTTTCAAGGATTCATAAGTGATCTTTATTGTGGGCCATTTACCTCAGCACAGATTTCCTGTTCTAGTGTGATCATATTTTTTTTTTATTGATTTGTAATGTAAGCTAGTTTGTTTCTCGCAATTAATAAGTGCTTTAGCAAATTTATAATAAGTTTCTTAAAAATATATGCATTAATTCTTTTATTACTTTTCCCTCAATATTTAGATGTATTTTAACGAAATGACAAGGCTAATTAATTTAAATTTTACTAATTTAAAAAGTAATTATATAAGATAGTAAAATTCCATTTGTTACAAATGGTCAGATATTTATCTGAATGTAATTTGTTTTTAAATTTCATTTTTGTATCATTGTTAAACTAGATGAAGATAATTACATGTACTATTCATCATTTCAGTGGTGATAAAATTAAGATAACACTTAAATATCATCACTAATGAATTCAAAATTAGTACTTTCCTTTTTTCTCGTTTAAAATGGAAATTTAATTAAATTGCTGTCGTTTAAAAAACCAGTAGCAACAGAGTTAAAAGGCAGGTACACACTGTGTTGACCGGATTGCATAGAGAATGCTATGCGATGAGGAGCAAACAAGGGATTAATGATCTGCTAAGTTGGCCACCAACAAAAGTCAGCATTTTGTTGCCAAGCAGCATTGTGTTGCCAAGCAGCATTGTGTTGCCAAGCGCTTACTATTAAGTGAGCGGTTGTGGGTCTGACCGACAGCCAATACAGTGTGTTCCTGGCTTAAGATAGTAAAAGGATTATCTGTTAACTTCTCAGGTGTCATATACTTGAAATGTCTCGAGAAATAATTGTAATATTGGTTACATATACTCAGAATATTCAAGAAATACATGTTGTGTGTGAGAAATGCATATTGAGTAGATACAAATACATAATAATGTGTGAGATATACATTCATTTAATGTGTGATAATTACACATAATGCGTGAGCTATGCTCACAAACTGTCAGATACATCCAGGACACAAGTTTTAGATGTTCATAATCGTTGGAAATACAGTAGTTACTTATAATAGATCCCATAAAATGTGTACAGATGTTATTTTTGTAGCTGCAAGTGGGATATAATTATTTCAATGAAATAATCGTAAGACTTGACTGCGCACTATTTCAATATTTCCTGCCAGAATCTGAAATGTTGAATAAGAAATTTTGAATGTTTTTTTTTTTTTTTGGTGTGGGTCTACGTCTGGACTAGGGGTTAAGAGGCTGACTTTGGGGTCTACAAATGGCAGACATTGGGTTTAAAAAGCAGCCTTTGTATGTAGCTATTAGTTATTGGAAGATAATGATCGGGTTTTGGGGGAGGGGAGCTGAGCATGGGCAAGATATTGTCGTAACTTAACCTACAAAGCAGTGAGTGAACGTTGATGTGTATGTTTTACTTGTATCGTATGTCTAATGTAATGAGAATCGCATTCACTTGTCTCCATTGGTTGTACAATTGCTCTTAACAGTAAAAATGAAGCAAACAATATACTAAGATAATACTGCCAATGTTTACTTAAATATATACTGCCACGTTAATTGAATAAACTTTCATTTTAAACAATTAAATTGCTTACTTTGTATATTTTAATAAGTTAATTAGTTTTCAAATGAATAACTGGAAATATTATCAATTAATGGATGTTTAAATATCATCAGACATATTCTTTGCATTTTAGTCTCAAATTGACTGCCTGACAATTTAAGAATTTTCATAGTGAAATTTTGAGGACTTGCTTTATTTGTGTGTTAATTAAATCTGGTAACCCTGGCGATTCTTTTAGATAGGCAATTCAAAGTTTTATTTTAATTTTTTTTCTCATTTTTTTCACTGGCCAGTGGCAGTATATATTTAATTCTTTAAAATTCATTATAAAAACAGAATATACTTTGCTGCTAATGAGTGATGTGCTAGAAAATAGTATAGGGAAAATATGAGAAATCAGAATGCAAAATTTAGAATGTATCTCCAAGAAGAAATGTCGTTATATAGACTTTAGTGCAACATAGGCATGTGTGACAGCCCTAGTAGCGTCCTTGGCATGGGTGACAGCCCTCGTTGCATGCTTGGCATGGGTGACGGCACTAGTAGCATCCTTGGTGTGGGTGACGGCACTAGTAGCATCCTTGGCATGGGTGACAGCCCTAGTTGCATGCTTGGCATGGGTGACGGCACTAGTAGCATCCTTGGTGTGGGTCACGACCCTAGTTGTATCCCAGATGTATGTAGTGTGTGTAGTGTGTACCTCTTATACACATCT